ACTTCTTCCTTTTTGGCCATCAGCTGATCCTCAGCTTCTTGGAGCTTAGCTCTCTGAGCTTCAGCAGCAGCAGCAGCCTCTGAGAGTTGGACATCCCTGGCTTGGAGCATCTCTTCAGCAGCCATTCTGCTGGCTTCAAGAGCTTCTAGTTGTTGCTGCACTTCAGCTTGTGCAACAGCTCCTTCCTGGATTCGGCTCTCAATGGTAGCCTTGAATTTGGAGATGTCCACTCCCATGTGCTCTTGGAGGAATTTTTCCCCTTCCATCAGTGGGGGAAAAACTTCCTTCTCCATAGCATCGCAGAAGGTTTTGAGGGCTTCAGCAGCTTTTTTCTCATATTCTTCACCCTTCTGCTGCTTCTCTTCAGCTGCTGCTTGCTTCAGCTTAGCAAGCTTTAACTCCTCTTCGGCTACCTTTTTGTCGTGCTCGGCAGCGTCCACCCTATCTTGTAGGGTATCTATCAGCTCTACAGTGAGAGTCTGATTGTGCACGAACTGAAAACAGGAGCACAAGTTAAAATAAAAAATAATAATAATGATAATTGAAGAGCTGAATTTTAAAGGAGATAAAGGCAAGGAAAATCACTTGCATCATCAGCAGTTGGTTAGACCTGGCTGGGTCAGGAACTGATCTGCTGGATTCGCCCATCCCAGTAGTGGCCTTCAGCGACCAGATTCTTGCTCTATCTACTTCGGTCATGCCAGCAAAATCGCCGAAGTAGGCTGCAGCACCTTCTCGGTTCTGACCCCATATGAGGTCCCAGATGTGATCTGGGATTGGAATTCGGGGGGCCGAGAAACCCATTTCTCCAGATTGCAGAGTCTGGAAGGAAGGAAAGGATGACGATGGAGCTTCTTTAACTTTGGATGGCTTAGCATCCTCCTTCTTCTCAGAAGAGTCAATTATTATGACTTCTTCTTCTTCAGGGGTGAGGACGAAGGCCTCAACCTCTCTTGCAATGTCTGCCGTGAAACCCTCAGCACTGGGCATCACGACATCCTCATTCTTGTGCTCAGCAGCACTCTCTTGAACTTCTTCTTGGACCCCTCCCTTAGGTTCGGGAGTTTTCTGATCCACCTCCATCTCGGGAGGTGGCGGAGGGGTCTTTGGAGGTGATTGAGGTGGTGGCCGGGGAACCCTCGGCGATCCATTGCCTTCCTCGGGTTCCCTTATTTCGACGCCGATGGTCATCGGCCTCCGCTGAAAGTCATGGGGGCCGATGATGGCCATTCTTCGGCGCCTTTTCTGAAGCGGCTGCTCGTCCATGTCTGAGTCTGAGGACTCTTCTTGTATCTGGTCTTCGGGACGAACAGGGGCTTTCCCTTCTCTGTGTCTATTACTCTCTTCAGACTGTAAAAGACAGGGGGGGAGGAAGAATGTGAGTAAAAAAAAAAAAAAAAAAAAAAACAACAAAACAACAAACAGAAACAGACAAAATTAAGTCTGAAAGCTCACCGAGGTCTTCAGCAAAGCCTCGTCTTCTTCAGCTGCCCTAGCTGCAGCTTCTTCTTCAGCAGCCCTGGAGGACCCTTCTCCTCCTTCACAAGCTTCAATAACCCGTGCAACCTCTTTGGCCGTACGGGCAGCTTCAGCTTCTTCGTCTAGCAGATGAAACCAGGGATCTCTCTTCTTCCACCAAGGCTTCTGCCTCTGATACAGAGCAACAGCCTCAATTTGGAAGTGGGAAGAGTCTAGATGAACTTCTCTATGCCTCGGTTCAGTGATAGAGGGGGCCCGATCAGTTACAACTCGTTCTCGGTTGACGCCAAGACGAGCGTAGTTAATGCCGACGTTGGTCTCGTCCCGCTCTGAATAAGAAAAGGGGAAAGGTCAGTTCAGTTAGGTTGGCACAACATAAAAAAGCGAAGTGAAAGAGGAGAAAAAGAGATAATTAAAAGGCCTCGGCCCCAGCCGAAGAAGCTTACCATCCTTAAACTTTCGGCTGAGGCCGACAGCTGCTAGCATGTTCTCTTGGAAAACATAATGCGTATCAGGGAGCCAAGTCTCCGGGATATGCTGCATTCGGCCGCTGCCCCCCCGGTTCGGCAGCTTGCCGAAGATATTCTGTTGATTAAGGTTCGGATCTGGGCTATTATCTTCGGGGGGACCTAAACTTCCCATGTCGGGATCAGGCTCAGCAAGGTACCGGGGAGCGCTGAAGATGCAAGGGTGGCCCGGGTCCGTGGGTGCCCTAACCCAAATCCATTGACCTCTCCAGTCCTTGTCTGAAGAGTCGTTCGGCCACATGGTTAGGTACTGGGGCCGAGATTCAATCCGGTACCACCCAGAACCATGACTTCCGTGCCCACTTTGAATATTTGGCACTAGCCGATGAAGCTTTTTGAAGCAGTGCAGGTTCGGCACATACCTGAAGAACTTGCAGACCCATAAGTATGTCATCACCCTTCGGATGCTAATAGGAGTTAGCTGACATAGGGAAATATTGTAATGGATCAGCAAGTCTCGGACGAATACGTCCAAAGGGTACCTCAGCCCATACTGAAGTTGTCTTGTGTACACACCCACATACCCCGGGGGTGGACGATGGATTCTATCGGATGCCACGGGCATTCGGCACCAATACCCATCAGCTTCAAGGATGCCGTAATGCAACTCAATTTGTTCGGCAAACCGATACTGTTCGGCATTCTCCACCCACCATGAGTAGGGGCGGTTCTTTATCATGGCCGAAGCTACTTCGGCATCCTCCCACTCTGAAAACCCGGGAAGGATATCCCAAAGGACAGCGGGAACTTCATCGTCCCGCCCAGAAGCGCTCGGCCCCTCCGTTCTCTAAGGAGGAGCCGAAGAAATTGGAGTCGCCCTAATCCCTTCAGCAGGGTCAGACTCTGCTCTTTGTCCATTCCAGGTCCCAATCTTGTTCCTGGGATCGGGAATTGGCCTTGCTCTTCTTGGAGCACGGGCTCTACCCCTAACTCCTCTCGCCATTGATAATTTCGAAGAAAAAAGTCGAAAAAAGGGGAAGGAGTTCAAATTCGAAGAAAAATAAACTAAAATCAAAGGAATTTACCTTAATCTGAAGCGAAAGTTGCCGATTTACGAATTGGTAGTGGCGAGTCTCAGTTTCTAAGCTTAATGCTCGGGGAATTTGCAAAGTTTTGATGCGGGTTCTTGGGTTCTCTCGAGAATTCTGGGTTTGTGTTGGTGAATAAGTGAGGAGAGATGACGCGCCTCTAATTATATCTCCAGAAATGGGAATACGGGGAGTCCGCGTTTCAATTTCTCTTAAATACCCCACTAAGTAACCGTTAAACACACGACCTTGCTATTAAACCGCCCATTATCCGTCCAACTTCCGCAATTATTCGCCTTAACTGTTGTTATCTCATTAATTACAGTTTTAATTACGGTTTAAATTCAAATTTTTAGGATTAATTAAATCATTCACTTCCCTCCTTTTCTGATTAAATCAAACCCGACCCGTCATCCTTCCAAATCGGGTCTGGGGGGCAAGTTGTTTGGGTCCAATTTAGTCCAATTGGGCCTAGTCACTGAATGATCCAATTAAAAGCCCAAGGTCGAGGTTCAACTCTCCAATTGTGCTAAAGTCAAAGATCAGTCCTCAAGGCAAGCCAATTGGGCTAAGGCCCAATTTCTCCATATATGCAAAGGTATAAAAGCCATCAATATAACATTTGTACATTCATTCAAGCAAAGCCTCAAGCAATTAATTCTCTTGCATAGTGTTCTCTTTCCACACACTGTACTGACTTTAGCATCGGAGGGGCCTTCCTCGGCAACACCCCCGAGGCTAGTTTACGTGTGTTTACTGTGCAGGAAACCTTCGGCCCAACATCACTTGGACCGAATCCAGTCTTCTCCACTCCATCGGACCTTCGACAAGGTCCCATTGTTTTCACCCGAAACAATAAGTAAAAATAATAAAGAGATACACAAATAAAAAATATCCTAGAAAAAAATATTTAGACTAATATTTATGTCGATTTGTGAGTAAATGTTTAAAATATTCTAGAACTTCATCAATAAGGTAGATTATATACTAGGCAAGAGGGCTATTAAGTAGGAAGATATGGTTTTTTATGGGTTACTTGTGAGTAAATGTGGATACCACTAATATTTATAGTTGAAGATGAAGGTTATAAGAAATGTCTAAAATATTAGAACTTCCTTTTATTTTTAACATTTTAGGAAACTCATGAGCTGTTTATAGATACTTCCAATTACAGTAATATTCAAGGAGGTTTATGATCCAATCACTGTAGATAATTCTAAAGAAATAAAGAGCAAGCACTAAATATGCCAAATTAAGCACGAAGCTTCTAAAACATGCATGCATTCTATCAAGTTTGACAGCCCAACCCACCCACCCATACACGACACGACCCAACCCGACCCACCCAACCCACAACCTTCTAACTCAGCACTACAACACTCATCAGCCCGCAAAGTAGCAGTCCAACAATAAGACTCAGCCCACTATATCACCACAGGCCAATTCCCTCCCATCCGAATCTTCCGGCCCAAACAGTCCCCATCACTCGGTCGTCTTCTCCGAGTACTTTGGCCCATATACGAAGCCCAACCACACTAACCAATCCATATTTTATGCTTTTTCTTTTTAGTTTGTGTTTAATTTTTACTCCTTTCATCCCCAATAAAAGCCATAATATTATGTATAGTTTATAGGTAAACTTATAAAATTTACATAAAAATCCTCATTGCCTCGTGCTTTGGAATATGAATATATCCATTTTCAAAATAATTGACATATTTTAATTATCACATATGCCAACGTACTAGCTTCATTGTCATTAATTATATATGTGTAAGCATTTGTAAAAATTACAAAAAGTCGATACCTAAAACTTTATATTCCTTACAACAATTAATAAAGGACTCATTTTCACAAAACTTCTCTGCCTATTCTCTTGCTAAATTGGCCTATTGGATGTTCTAACTTGCAGATATACTTAGAATTTAGGAAAACCTAGAAGTTACCTTATTTTTTTTGGGTAATCAATAACATAATACTTTGTTAGGGTTTAATATAGGGTTTAACCGTTGGTAAATAAAAAAAAAAAAATGGAACCCCGCCAGGGTTAATACAGTAGGCATGAATGAGCTAGAAGAGCTGCATTCACCAAAGCACCATTGTTTGAAGTCCGAGAGAAATTCCGGAATTCAAATTCTTGTTCATCAAAAGCAACTTAGTACAAACCAGGGGAGGGGTTGTGTAAATTACAAAATACATTTAGATCAAGTTGTTGCTTCTACATTATTTAGCCATTTTGTCTGCAACTTGACCAGCATTCCTCCATGCTTGAGTTGGACTTGCTGCAACTCCCGCGAGCAGCTCCCTGCAATTATAAATCATAGCAGTCAGTCTGGAGATGATTTGCTGTGAGTCTTGTATTTCCTGCATAGCCTTAATTTGAACATTCAAATGAAGTCCTAGAGGAAACCTAGAAGTTACTTTACCTTGCTTCTGCAGCAACTCAGCACCAAAATGCTTACCACGAGGGAAAGAAAAGAGGCTTCTCCAACAAATCACGAACCTTAAACACTTTGGCCATGCTTGGATCCCGGTGTTTCTGAGGGTTTTGTCTAATGTATTGTACCAACAAAATGGCACAAAAGCAGGATTATCATGCTTCATCACCAAAATCTCTTGCCCTCCTTTGGAATAGGCTATGGGCAGATTCGACAACCTTTGGGTGGCAACTGAATGCAAAAAGTCCAACTTCACCCAAGACTCTTTAACCCCATACTCTTTCATTAGCCACACAGCAACCAGTTTCTCTTTTCTAACATAAGTCTCTGTCAACAAGCATAAACTTCCATCTAGATTCCGTAATTCTGCTACAAATGTGTAAGTAATATCCGCCTTCACAATGTCATCAGGGATAGGTACCTCTCCCCGCTACTCATTGCAAAGATCATAACAAGCAATGGCAGGTCGACCAAGTGGCCAAAGCGAATGCCAGACGATCCGATGGAGCAAATGGTTGTTAATTAGTACACCATAAGACCTAATATCATGTCCCAAAGAGTTCCCTTCTTTAATCAACCTCCAAGAATTGGAATACAAGCTATAAACCCTCATTTCACGGGGGGACCCATGCCACTTATTAAAAAACATAACAAGTTTATAGTCTTCTGAAAGATGATCATACCCAAACCCATAGTAAGCATCCTTACGGCACCTAGGAGCTTTGCGGATCTTATAGAATGTCATCGTTGCTTGATTGACCAAGATTACCTCGGAATTTGGGAGAAGAAGACATAGTAACCCATTGCATGAACCAATAATAGAAGTGTCAGCGGAGTCAAACTTGTGGGGTACTGGAAGCTTGACTGCAGGAGATTCCGGTGAATCAAGGTCAAAGGAGTAGAGGTCAACCTCACATATCTCAGCGCCCTCCTCCTCCTCCTCCTCCTCCGTGGAGGTATCAACGATGCCCGAGAAAACAACAAGGCGACCGGACTTGGAGAGGAGAGATTGGTGGAAATGAGAGTGAGCAAATTCAGGGCTGCTGATCACTGTCAGCCATGATTTGCAAACACATTTGAGACACAACAAACACTTGACTGGTAATCGGGACGGTATGTTAGAGATTATGTCAAGTGGGAGAGTATCCATGTAAGAAACAAAAGCACACTTTTTATTATCCTCTTCCATGGTTTTCTTCGTCTTCCTTGTATTAGCCCAATTTATCCCCCTGATACAAATTCATCAAGATTAAAAATCGTATTTTATTCAACTACAGCTTAAAGTTAAAGTCAATTGTGCTATGACTTAGTTACCTAGAAGCAAAATGATAGCAGTCATAGCACTAATTAACAAACTCCCCACTTATACAGTTACACTCTATGTTCAAAAACCTCTAGCGAAATTGATGATTAACAAACTCCCTACTTAATTATACTTTAGGGGGTGTTTGGTTGGTAAGTAAGGGTTTAAAATGGATAAAACCCAAATCTAGTGTTCATTTAGAAAATTTCACTTTTTAGACTCATACCTCAAAACGCTCAAGGTACGGGGTTTAAAGGACAAGGTGGATATGACTCATACCAAACATTCAAGTCATTAAAAAAAAAAAGAAAAAGGAAAATTTGTCAAAAAGATCATTTGAAGCGGTTCACTTTGCGGTAAAGGTCCTTTTAAAAAATAAAAAAAAATGGCAACAAAGGTCCTTTTATCCCATTTGGGCGATCATTCCCGTCCTCCGAACAACAACCACATACAAAATACTCGCACGATTACCCATATGACCCTGTTTTCATTCCTAATTCTAAACTCAGACTCCATACAATCTATGACCTAAATACCCTTTAAAGTGTTGAGCCAACCATTATCAAAGAAAAATTAATTTTTGGTATAAAAAGGAATGTCAAAGTGCTCATAGGATACCTTAATTAGATTGTCAAGCATCAAATATTGAATGTAAGATACGGAGTAGCAATTATACAACCACAATTTATCAGCTGCAAGCATCTTCAATGGTAAGCTACAAGGGCTTGTTGCTTACCTTGATATATCAAAATTTTGAGCTAGTTTATTATTAAGGTACAAGGTGCTCCAATGGTGAGCAATAGAAAGTTATAGCTTGAAAAAAATAAATAAATAAATAAATAAATAAATAAAGTAGTTTTAATTATATACATGTCGTAATATAAGTGGATGAAGTGTTCGTTGAAAAATCAAGCAATGTAGCTTGTTTGAGCAACGTTGTTTGATGCAGCTACATCAATATTGTCACTCCAATGGTAAGCTACATGCTTACAATTAAATTTAATTTACAAGCAGGTCCTTTTTGTAAACAATTGGAGATACTCTAATAAAATGCACTTACAATGCAACAATTACCCGCAAAAGATACCAATCACTTCCCAATTCACATTTTTATAATCATTTGGAGAATTCAGTAATATAATCCAAAAGATTACCTAATTTAAGATCAAATTTACATATAAATTCCAAGGAAAAGACCCATACATGAAAGAAATTAAAGAATCCACAGCAGAAAACAATAATGTTAAAAATGGAGAGAAAAAATAGAAATTCATACTCCGATAAACAAGAGGAAAAAAAAGAAAAAAAGAAAAAAAAAAAAGTGTACCTGAAAATTGGTTTTAGCGGCTAAAGAACGAATTCACTCTTAAGTAAAATTGAATCTTCTAAGTATCTCCAATGAGTAATTCTGAAAGCAGAATGAAGTTTGAAAGAATTGACTAAACACCCCCTACAGTATAAGCAGAATGATGTTTTGCACACGTTTTAAGAGGAATGCGTAACGCTATATGTTAGGGAATTAGGGATTAGAATAAGAATTATTACTACGAATTGGCTGTCGGTGTAGTGGTGTATGAGGCTGCACTTGGTAGGGAGTACCGTGCATTTGACAACTCGTAATAATAACTAGAAGGAGATTGAAACCAAACCACCCAAAATGAGTCTCGAATCTAGATTAACCCAAAAGGTGAATTTAATTTAGAAATGCATGACAAATATTTCATTTGTTTTTTCCAATTTTAGCTTCTTATATGTAGCCCTAAGGGCTATGTATAGCATTTTCCTAAATAAATAAGGGAATAGAGTTTGGATGATTAAATGTGGTATAAATAGGTAGGGAATTCCTAAAATATAATTGATCTATACATAATTGTATATATTAATGACAAGCTTGAAATTAATTGTAAAGCTTTTCTCGTTACTTTTTGATTTTTGATGTACAACATTTGGTTTCGCAAGTACAATATTTTTGGTTTTAAAGGTACAATACTCCCATTAAACAAAACAAATAGTGGCTTGTGATGGATTATAAGTAAATATTAGTAAAATAGTAAATAAAAGTAATGAGACTATTATTTAGGGATTAGTTCTTTTATGGTGAAATAAGACTTTCGTTTGAGGACGGCAGTACTATAAAAGTTAGTTATTTCACCAAAAGTTAATCATAAATAGCTAATTGTGAATTTGTGGTAATGTGAGAGTAAAGTAATGGTTCTCATAAATTTGACAAAATCCACTTGACCTAAATGAAATCAAAATTAAACTAGATCACCCTAAATGGACTTTGTCGTGTCAAAAAAGGACTCGACTTGAGATAGACCTGACCCAATCCAATCCAATCCGAAACAACCCAAAATCATATGTAGTTGAAATATACTCATGTGATAGATTATTTTTCAATATACCTAAGGTTCAACTTGAAAATCGACCTAGTTCAACCCAAAAATCTCTTCATTCAAATCTAACCTAATTCGATTGCCCCAGATCCATACCCAATCCAAACGATTTTATCAATATTACTATTCCTACACAGTCACTTATAGTACGAGCAAACACAAAATAACAAATTAAAATTAAAATTGGGACAAATAAAAGGAGACGGTCCAAATTTTGGCATGACAAGGTAGTGCTTGCATTAGAAGCTAGCCAAGTACTAACATTCTCGATACTCCAAAACCGAAGGAAAATTGAATTGGAAAGTAGACAGACAGTTGGATCCCAACCCCCTAACTCAACCGTGAGAGACATTGTGCCGTTGTACTAAGTGGGTCCTTTACTACAAAGCCACCTACTCTTTAATTTTTTTTAATTAAAAATTTCATCTTATCTCCCTTTCAAAAAAAATATTTCTGTTGGATTTTGAAATTTATTGAGAGGGATGAAAAAGTGTGTAATTTTCCAGTTTACCAAGAATTGAACACACACCCTCCTTTGACTCCTTGCATTGCACACTTTCTCTCTCTCCTAATTTTCTTATTACTAGTAATATTAATTGAAAGCCCAAAAAATAAAAAATAAAAATAAAAAACAGCTCTTTTCTTTATTTATTTTGTGCCTCATTTATTACCCAAAAACAGTTCTTTTCTTTCTTTTCACTCTTTTTAAGCAAGAAAGTTCTATAAAAATCAAACCTTTTTCAAATAAAAACCATATTTGATGCTTCTTTACTACTCAAACTTCTGGGTATTTCTCATATAAATTGAACTACTGTTGAAAATTTTAACCTCTACCCTCTTACTAATTATTATTGATTTCTCTCCCCAAACAAAATTAACAAAATGAGTGCTTCAAAGTTTATTAAATGTGTTACTGTTGGAGATGGAGCTGTTGGAAAAACATGTATGCTCATTTGTTATACTAGTAACAAATTTCCTACTGTAAGTTTTTCTCATTTTCTTACCTAAAGATTCTTACTTTCTTGCATTTTTTAGTGCATTTGCTTGAATTTGAGCTATTTTCTTGTCATTTATGTTGATGGGTATTTAAATTTACTATCTTTTATTTGCATTTTGTGTTCAAATAAGCTGGTTCTATGGTTTTTTCTTCTTCAAAAAAAAAAAAAAAAAAAAAAGAAAATGCTGGTTCTATGGTTTAACTTTCAATTTCTCAAAAACCCATTTCTTAATTGATAATATTTTTATTTATTTTAAAATGAACATTATTGATTGGGATTGTAATTTTTGAGTTTGATACTTGGGATATGTTACCTTAAAGGTTACTCTTTATGCTAATTAATGATACTTTTCCTTTTCTGGCAGGATTACATTCCTACTGTATTTGATAATTTTAGTGCTAATGTGGCTGTTGATGGAAGCATTGTCAACTTGGGACTTTGGGATACTGCTGGTATAACAAATCAACAACTCTCTATGTCCCTTTTTGTTTGTTCTATTTGACTTTTTACAGTCTCTAAAACACGTCTTTTTTTACCGTTGCCGTGTTTGAGAATTGCTGTTATATGCTTGAAAATTTCAGGTCAGGAAGATTATAGCAGGTTAAGGCCATTGAGTTACAGGGGTGCAGACATATTTGTGTTGGCATTTTCTTTGATCAGCAGGGCAAGTTATGAAAATGTCCTTAAGAAGGTACTTATTGATTTTTTTGATGAAATGTGGGTTAAATTTGTCTTTTAATAATGTTTAGTGCATGATTATATCATTAAATTAACATCATGTTTAACAAAAGTTGGGACCTTTTCATTCTGACTCAAAGCTGAGCCTACATGCACTTTACTGTCTGTTACAAATTAGAAATTCATTAATGTTCAAGGACTTATTAATCATGATTGTATATTACTTCTATGTCTTAAAATACCCCTTAATTATTGACACCCTCCAAAAATTGATGAGACTGCATGATTATTGCCCTTGATACAAATTCATAACTTAATTTTATGTTTCATGGACCTAATAATCATGATTGTATAGTATAGTATGTCTTAAAATATCCCTTATTATCCTCCAAAATTTGTTGAGATTGCATGATTATTGTCCTTGATACAAATTCATAACTTAATTTTTTGTACATTGATGCTTATGAATGTGCATTGTTTCTAAATCTTTCAGTGGATGCCGGAACTTCGTAGATTTGCACCCAATGTTCCAATTGTACTTGTTGGAACAAAACTAGGTAAATATATGGCCTTATTCGAACTGATGCATTTGCAAGAACTATAACTATTTGCTTTAATTAATTTGTTCTATAATAGAAGATTGAAATTGTAATTTGTTTTGTACTATCTCTCAGATCTTAGGGATGAAAGAGGGTATGCTGATCCTACTGGATCAAATATCATAACTCCTGCTCAAGTATGTTATGTTCCCTTGCATAAAACTGTCTCCTTTTTATGGTACAATATATAATATGCGCACTGAAATTACGAGTAGAAGGCTAATGAACATGTAATTATACAGGGAGAAGAGTTACGGAAGCAAATTGGTGCTGCAGCTTATATAGAGTGCAGCTCTAAAACTCAGCAGGTAAATTACACCGGTTCGTGGACTTACAGCACAATACCTTGCAAAGTATTATGAATATAATGAATTTTAACCAAATTTCCGATTTCTTGTTTAGAATGTCAAAGCTGTTTTTGATACTGCTATCAAAGTTGTTCTACAACCTCCAAGGAGGAAAGAAGCACCAAGGAAGAAGAAGTACAAAAAGTCTGGTTGTTCATTCGTGTAAGTATTCTAAGGGATGCCTTTGGTTCTTATATTATGCTAGTTGAATCAATTTTGGCAGTTGCAATTATTCTAGCAGATAGGATATATAAATTCGCAAAAGTTTATTGAAAGAAAATTCATTGTGTTGAGTATGATTCTGATGTGGAAGTTTGTTGTTCAATACTTCAATCTGTCTTGCTCGGATTATTCAGCAAGATAGATATTTGTCACGAATTAAACTTTGTTCTCTTACTGTAAGAAAACAAGATTAGCACCAATCGTGTTTAAAGAAGGAAAAATAAGTTCGATTAAGGTCTTTTACAAGTTCAGTTAAGGGTGTTTTTAGGTGAAAGCCTTAATTTTGAAACAGAACCTCAGAAGTGATTGATTGAAAAATGCAATTGAAAACACTAGTGAAATCTAGATGAAGTTAAAGATGTTACACAATTTAGAAGGGATGACAAATTACCAGTAGAGGAGTTAGCAGAATTGAGTTTATGATAGCAATCAAGTATTGTGAAAGGACATTACTTTCATCTGCAAGTCAAAAAGTGCCATTAAAGGAATTTGATATTTATGTTGTTTTTTTGAAATGCAGGGGAATTATGTGTGGAGGTTGTGCTGCCTAGTTGGCGCATTTGGATTAGAAAGAGGAGGCTCACCTCCTACTCTTTTTGGACGAGCAATGCCATGTTTGCTGAATTCATCCCAAACTAAGGCAGCAGCTGGTGTGTGCACTATATTATATTGCGCGATCTGATGTATGTATGTATGTGTTATCTTTTGCGGAATTATAAGCTGCAAAGTACTGAGGGAATTGTTCATTCTCTCTTGGCTATTTTGCCCTATTTAACTCATTATTAGCTTCTTCTTACTTTCTTAGTTATGTAAGAGCATATTCTGATGGCAAGTTTCAGGGATTTAGTATTTTAGTGTATTATTTCTACCAAAAAAAAATTTGGTTCTGAGTTCATAAGCATATTATGTAGCATTTGATTAATTTTCTTTGCTCCTTTGTTCTAAGATCAACTCGGGTATGTCTCTTTGCATGCAAATTATCGTTCTGACCACTGATGTATCCAATGGCAAAAGAAAACATAATGGTAAATTTAGTCTTACAGATTTTGATGAAGGGCTTTCCTCTGTTTTGACATCACTTTTCCAAGTGTGCATCACTTTCATCGTTCATAAGTCTACAAAAGTCTGCATAAATCACAAAAGCAGAAAGTGTTCATGAGAGTGACCTGAATTGGCAAAGCCACTCATGTACAAGGAAGGAACCTCACAAATCTTTTTTGACATGTCTTTACTTTTAAGGTTGTGCTAACATTTATTATTCATTTGGTGCAACTATTTTGTGATACACTTTTTCTTAAACTGATTTTGTTACTCTCCCCCCCCCCCCCCCTCCCTTTTTTTTTTTTGATGCAAGCTAGGAAAATTCAATAGACTAAAAAAGCAAGGTTAGGGAGGTTTATCCTCCAAAATTACATCAACAATGCACCCAGGAGGGTGATTTAAATTACGTTAAAGTCTTGTGAGACACTTTTCCTACAATTTTTAGCTAAGATATCAACAACCCTATTAGCATATCTCCCTTCATAGCATCCCTTCATAGCATAGCTTAATTCCCTGGATACTCTCCATAAGGTCCCTGTATTTTTGTATGATCAAAAGGTTAGCATCTTTCCCACTTTCGTTGCGGGAAATAAGGTCCACAGCTTGGCTTGAATCTGACCTTATGGATACTCTCCATAAGGTCCCTGCATTTTTGTATGATCAAAAGGTTAGCATCTTTCCCACTTTCGTTGCGGGAAATAAGGTCCACAGTTTGGCTTGAATCCGAGCTTATCACGATGTTAGTCCAGCCCTTCTCTGCTACAATTTGCAGACCCAGTTGGATAGCTCTGATTTCACCCATCAAAGCTGATCTTAGTCGACATTTTTGTTGAAAACCAAGAATCCAATTTCCCTGTTCATCTCGAAAAATACCAGCCATGGCTGCAGCTTGAGAAGCATTTGTGAAGGACGTATCACAGTTCAATTTTAGCCATAGGTCAGGGGGAGGTATCCAATGGGAAAGAGGAGCGGTAGAGAGAGAGGGGCCCAACGGATTCTGCTTGGAGGTGTGAAATTCCCAAGCTTAAGCTTGAGCTTCCAAGTAGGATTTTTCAATGGGTTGTTGAGATTGGCAGAAAGTTCCCTCAATTCTCCTAAGCCAAGGTTTCCAAATAACAAAGGAGAAGAGGGTTTGCCAGGGAAGAGCAATGTTGTTTGGGATAGAAGGGGGTTGAGGGTGAGGTTGGTGACCAACCAATCTTAAATATTAGGAGAGAAAAAATCAGAGGAAACTAAACATAGATCCTAGATTTCTTTCGCTTGTGTGCAGTCCCTAAGAATATGAGTTGAGGTCTCAGGGGAGTTTGGACAGCAAGCACACTTATCAGAGGGAATGATGTTTCTTCTTGCAAGAGTAACCTTATGAGGTAATATGTCTAGAAAGCATAACCAAATAAATTTTTTTTACTTTTGGAGCTGTGTTAATTTTCCAAATCCAGCCTAAGTCCCTATTCAAATCATATTCATCCTCAAATAAAGACATTGCCCTTTTAAAATCAAATTTGCCTTTTGAAGTAAAATCTGAGAAGATAAAATCATGATAATTATGCTCAGGAATCGGGATAGGGATACTCAAACACTGATTGAGAATAAGATTGGAGAACTCCCACTTTGAATCAACAATGCACTGGTCAACCATAATATCCTCCTCTCCTCTCTGTAAAGGACCTTGAATCATACTTCTAATGGTGTTACTCCCACTCCATTTATCATTCCAAAGAAAAATATCCACCCCATCCCCAACTCCCCACTGGATATGACTCTTAAAAAGATCCCAAACCTTACCCATACTCTTCCAAAGATGAGAACCATAAGAGAAGGACCTAAAGAAGTTGTTGGGTTTAGAATATTTATCTCTGAGAACTCTAACAGCTAGGTTGTTCTCCTAATTCAGCATTCTCCACCAAAGCTTGAGCATGTGCACTTTGTTAAGAGCCTTAGCACATCTTAAACCCAGCCCCCCTTTATCCTTAGGTTTTGCTACCTTATCCCAACCCACTAAATGAATACCTCTCTGATTGTCACCTTTACCCCAAAGAAACTTAGCCATGACATTGTTCAAATGATTCAAGAGGGATTCGGGTAGTAAAAGGCATTGCATGTAATAGCTAGGGTGGGTATTAAGAGTGGAAGAGATAAGACATAACCTACCAGTCCTAGTTAACAAAGAGGACTTCCAAGACTAGTTTTCTGAGAATTTTTTGAGAAATGAACTAAACTTTGGCTTTGGAAGGTCTGGAACTTGAAAGTGGGAAGCCAAGATAGGGACTCAGGTCATCCGTTTCCTTAAAACCCAAAGAGTTGCAGGTCATCAGGGGAAGTATTTCGGGAAAAAAGGACCTTACTCTTGTTTGCACTCACCGTTTGACCAGACACATCATAAAATTGGCTCAAGATATCTTTTAGAGAAAGGATGTTTTTTAGGGAGGTTTCACCAAAAAGTAGAATGTCATCTGCGAATAAGAGGTGAGAAATAGGGACCTCTCTCCTACCCACCCGAAAGGGGATCCATACTTTATCTCCTACAGCCTTATGAATTATTTGGGATAGAAATTCCATGCAAACAATAAAGAGGTAAGGGGAGAGAGGGTCTCCTTGCCTTATCCCCCGGGAGGAAGACACAGAGGAAATGCAAGACATAATCATATCAGTGGACTCAAGATCTAGACCGAAAGAACAAAGAGAGCTTCTCACAAAGCTCCACTCCAACTTATCATACGCTTTTTCTAGGTCAAGCTTCAAGATGAACCAACCTCTCTTACCTTTCCTACTTCTCATGGAATGCAAAATTTCATTAATCACAATGACGTTAGTCTCCGTACCTCTACCTGGAAGAAAGCTATTTTAATTGGGGGAAATTCTATGAGGTAGAAAGACTCTTAGTCTATTTGCAGTGATTTTGGTAACAATTTTGTAGACCGTGTTGCAAAGACTAATAGGGCGAAATTGGGAAATTGAAGAAGGATCCTGAGACTTAGGAATGATAGCAATGTAAGTCTTATTTATCTCTTTAGGAATTTCTCTTTTTGAAAAGATATCCCTGATGTAAAGGGATAAGTCAGACTTAATGATTTCCCAATATTTCTTGTAAAAGAAAGGATGATAGCCATTCGGCCTAGGAGCCTTGAAGGATCCCATTTTTGAAATAACACCCCAAATTTCAGTAACATCAGGAGGATGAATAAGAGAGATGGAGCTAGAACTCGTGGCTAGAGGAATAGGGAGGGAGGAGACAGCATGGTGGAAGATGAACGATGAAGAGAACAGATTTGAAAAATAATTCCTAATGTGTTGACTCAAGTGGGAGGGATCTGAGATTTCCTCACCAAAATCTGAAGTAAGAGAAATAATTTTATTCCTCTTTCTCTTAATGAGAACAGATTTATGAAAATATGAAGTATTCCTATCCCCTTCCAAGATCCAATTGTCTCTTGATTTCATCATCCAAAAAAGTTCCTCTTAATGTAAAACATTTAAAAGTTCTTCCTGTAGCTCATTTTCTAACTCGAAAAGGAAATTTGAGAAGCCATTAATCCCTTGAGATTTTTTGGAGAGTGTGTAATTGTGTACATAGTTTTGATCATGTTGTGGGAGTGCCAAAATAGCTCCCCCTAGATTTTATACACCTTGTCCATATTTTACTTGTGGTAAATACACTCGATGCCCTACCTTCTAGAACTAACATTAATATCGAGTGTGGGTAGTAGATACATTCAGGTATATGTAAAAAGTTTGTACGGTGAAAATAACTGTCCGCGGTCCTTGTACTTACCAATTTATCATGGTCACTGATCATATGAATGCGTGCCTTTAACCTATCTCCATGAGGCCATGACTCTGATCTGACTTCTGAGTTTTGACCATTGTTAAAGAGATATGTCCTTACCTTAGTTTAATTTATTACTCATACTGATATTCAAGGCCATGTACAATAGGGACAATGTGGTCTCCCAAACTACAGTGCATGTAGGGCATATTTCTACATGAAAATGAAAATTCATCTCGTGGCAAAGGCATTCAATGCCCATATGCTCACCTGCTGACTGATAATATCACATATCTCACATAGTCACATGCTAACACTAGTACTTATATTTACAAGAACCAGCAAATATTATTAGCCCGAATGTGCTCTAAAATATGAAATCCAAAAAAGAAAAATTATAATCAGGTAGACAGTCACGAGTATTTCCAGGTTTTTAGATTTTCCCTAGTCTTTAATCATAAGTTAGGCGATTGACATCGACTCAAGTTATTTTTGTTTCTAATTATTGGAGCTAAGAGGGAGTAACTTTTATGATTATAAGGAGTATATGGCAAGAAATGCTTATTTTAGATAGAGGAACTTTAGATACGTGTACCATTCCAATTAAAAAAAAATATGGCAAGTAATGCAATGCTTTTAATACTCTACAACTAGTTATGAAATTGATTATGATATACAAGGGTATTAATAATTAATATATAGGGGATTTATCTATATTGCCGAAAAGCTTTGCTACTCAATTGATCAACACAATCGAAGGTTAATATATAGGGGATTTATCTATATTGCCGAAAAGCTTTGCTACTCAATTGATCAACACAATCGAAGGTCTTCTCCCACACTTGTTCGCTACTGAACAGTACTACACTAGCAAGGTGATGAGCGATAAAACTCCATCCCTTTTAACATGAGACCAATGCACATAATCAAAACTAGAACAAATCGAAAAAATATCATTAAAAACCGAGTCAAGATCGGTGAGAAATGTGGAAGCTTTTGAGAGACGAGTGATGATGTGTTGACAATCCGATTCCAAAATCACCTTCTTATACCCATACTTCAGAGCTAGCTTCACCCCATAGAGTAAAGCACGGCACTCAGCAACTTCTGGTGGCCAAAACCCACGAACTTGACGCACCCCAGCAAACGGAACCTCCCCTGCAGCGTTCCTGGCAGCAGCTCTAAGACCAATCCAGCCATCAGTCTTAAGGCACGCATCACAATTG